CACTAGGCAGACCAAAGATTCTGACTTCTCCTTCTTCCCCAAATTCACTCAAAATAGCTGAATTTTAACAGTCCCAGTGATCAAGTAGGCAGGTGCTTGACAGTATTATGACTCCTTCCCCACAACACACCTTCCCACAGAAGAAAAGTGAGGCTGCAGGAGGCTGTAAGACCCACAGCCAGCTGGAGAAGAGGCAGGATTTGAACCCAGGACTCCAGATCTCCCCCACTCTGTGTATGGCCTCCAACTTTGAACCCTGCAAGAAACGGAGAGGTTAGGGTCTTCCGGAAGGGATGCGGACGGCTTCCCGTGAGGGCAGTGTTTATCTATCATTAGACAGCATTTGTGAAGAATGCCTGAGCTCCGTCTGCTTTGGCAGTTGAATCGTGACCAGGCAAGAACAGGGACTGAACCTGGGGCCTTCCAGACAGTGTTTTCTCATCTCAGCTAAGAGTTATGGGGAAAGAGGTATGAACACCAGCAAGGTCAGGATGGGAGCCCAGGGTGACAGACGGCCGGTCCTGTGCCAGCATGTTCTGAGCTGGGGAGTTGGTGGCAGACGCCTGCGCTGACCAATAAAGAGATCACTCGGGTCACTGGGTGAGTGATTGAGTCAAGAACCATCTGACATGAGAGCTGGTTGCATTTGTGTTCAGGTTGCCTCCGATTGCATTAGCTATGTGGGCAACCACATGATTCTGTTGACTCCTGTTGAGCTTGCAGTCAACCCAAATGGATAGACTCCTCCCAGCACATTGTTCTTAAGAGTTGTCTTCTTCCTGAGTTTTGGCTGTTGAGTTTTCACCTAGGAATAAACCTTTACATTTATCCCTATCAAATTTCCACTTGGGGTTTTGGTCAATCAGTAGGAAGCAGGCAATATTTTAAATCTGATTCTGTTTTGTACATCTTGACTCTCCCCCTCCAAGCTTTAAATAATTTGTAAATCTGACCCAAGTTATTTTATTTTTAAATATATATTTTATTGATTTTTTACAGAGAGGAAGGGAGAGGGAAAGAGAGTTAGAAACATCGATGAGAGAGAAGCATCCATCAGCTGCCTCCTACCGGGGATGTGCCTGCAACCAAGGTACATGCCCTTGACTGGAATCGAACCCGGGACCCTTCAGTCCGCAGGCTGACTCTCTATCCACTGAGCCAAACCAGTCAGGGCTGACCCAAGTTATTTAGAAAAAGGTTAAAAGTGGAAGTTGGTTGGTCGAAAATATTCGACCAACCAAATCATCTAAATTGTCTTGTCTGAGGAATGCCTGGGCCACATAGCTTTCCAGTATTTGCATATGGCACCTTCCTGGTCCACCTATCAGGAAAGTCTTCTCAAAAAAGGAAAAGAGTGGTTGCTTCGACCTGACTTGATTTTAGTAAACACATGCTTGTTCCAAAGGTCCCAGTTTCCATTTTGTTTTTAAGTGCCTTTGTTTAATATTCTACATTTTAGAATCCTGCCCACGGGCGAGTTGGTAAATCTCTGATGTCCTTTTTGGAATCCATGCCTTTAGGAAACTAGAATCACACTTACGCATGCATCCTGGCTTTCTAGTATCTATTCCCACTCTTCACGGAACTTCAGAGATTGATAAGGTTTTAGGGATCAGACTTCCAAAATCGCTCGGTTCCTGGGGTTTAATATATGGATATGATAACTGGAATTTCTCTAAAGAAGCTCTCAGCTTTCTCACCACCCTCTGTCTACATCTTCATTCCCTGTGTAACTCGGGAACAAAGCAGGAGCTGAGGTGTTCTGCTTTCTTTCTTTTTTAAAATCTTTATTGTTGAAAGTATTACATATGTTCCCTTTTTCCCCCCCATTGACCCCCTCCAGCCTGCCCCTGCCCCATGCATACACGTCCTTTGGTTGATCACCTCCCACCTACGCACCCTCCCCCACCTTCCCTCTGAGATTCCGCACTCTGTTCCATGCTTCCATGTCTCTGGATCCACTCCATTCATCGGTTTATTTTGTTAATTAGATACCACATATGAGTGAGATCATGTGATACTTGTCTTTCTCTGACTGGCTTATTTCACTTAGCATGACACTCTCCAGGTCCCTCCATGCTGTCTCAAAGGGTAAGAGATTCTTCTTTTTTACTGCTGCATAGTGTTCCATGGTATAAATGTACCACAGCTTTTTTATCCACTCATCTACTGATGGACACCTGGGCTGTTTCCAGATCATAGCTATTGTAAATTGTGCTGCTATGAACATAGGCATGCATACATTGGTGTTTCAGTTTTCTTAGGATATATTCCTAGAAGTGGGATCACTGGGTCAAATGGCAGTTCCATAGTTAATTTTTTGAGGAAACTCCATATTGTTTTCCATAATGGCTGCACCAGTCTGCATTCCCACCAGCAGTGTACTAGGGCTCCCTTTTTCCCACATCCTCGCCAGCACTTGTCATTTGTTGACTTGTTGATGGTAGCCATCCTGGCAGGTGTGAGGTGGTACCTCATTGTCGTTTTAATTTGCATCTCTCTGATGATCAGTGACTTTGAGCATTTTTTCACATGTCTCTTGGCCATCTGTATGTCTGCTTTGGAGAAGTGTCTATTTAGGTCCCTTGCCCATTTCTTTTAAACCGAATTACATCTCATGTTTGTGCCTAAGCCAATCAGAACCCCACTCCCTGAGGCAGTGTTGGCCTCAGGAAAGCAGAGACATGAACAGAACTTGGGTTCTGCCGAAAGGAGGAAGGGGAGCAAAGGGCAGCTGAAAAGGTCAGCTGCCACCCTCTCCAGGAGTGTTGCAATCAAAGCCAGTCGTAATGACTGTGTCTGCACTGGGGGACAGAAACAATCCGCGGAGAGTATACAGTTACAGAATGTCACTAGCACCGTGCCCAGAGAGAACCTCGTGCTGGGAGAGAGAGAGCAGGGCGAGCTCAGTGAGGTCATGGAACAGGAAAGGCCACTCAGAGGCAGTGAAAGGTGCGCCGTACAGGCAGAGGGAACAGGCCAGCTCTTTCGAGAGCATGGACGGAGATCAGGGCACCCGGAGCCCTGGGAGGGGCTGAAATAGCACGGAAGGAGCAGCACACAGGCTCCTCCTCGTACCATGGGAAGGATTGCATTCGAAGAGCAATGCAAAGGCACGGAAGGCTTTAAAACAAGGGAATGACGTGATCTTTAAGAGATCAGTTTGGTCATGTTGTGGAATGAATGGATGGCAAGGCAAAGAGATGTTAGGAGTCTATATGTCCATCTGATAGGTTGGCCACAGGAGAGATGGCGGGAAAGTGGACAGAACTGAGTATGAATGGCATCTGGGGGATACCAGGGTATCCTGTTCTAAGACACACATGAGAACTGAGTATGAATGGCATCTGGGGGATACCAGGGTGGGCACAGCCTGTTCTAAGACACACATGCACACACAGAACTCCACTTAGGTGCCACATAGGAGTTCAGAGGTGAGATTACAGGAGTGGCAGCTTGAGGGAGAGCCTGAGTTCAGAGTGACTGCTGAAGGAAGGGGATATTTGGACAGGGCACCGAAAGCTGGGCAAGGTGGCTTTGAAGGGGCAGACGTGGGAAGGGCAGTCCTGGGAGAGAAACCATCAGGAGCTGAAGCAGAGAGGCAGGAAATGAAGGCCTGAGGGAGAGAAGCAAGTAGTGGAGTTTGTAGGGGTTTATGAAGAGGCATTTGGGGAAATAAGGCTGGAAAAGTCATGGGTGTCAGTTTAAGGAGGGTTCAGTGTGGCAGGCTAAGGTAATAACATAAAAAGAAGGGGGAAAGTTTAAATAAAGTGTAGCTTAGCTACAAAAGAACTCACCAATTAGCTACACAACCACTTCGTTTTCCTAGGAATAATCGATGTGCTAATCGGGTTTTGATTACTTCCTTACTGGATGGACAAGCAATATCTCTTCCTGGTATCACTGCCACCTGCAGGCATTGGTCATTGATTTCTCACTTGTTTCTGGAATGCATTCCTTCATCTCTTACTGAGCATTGGAGCTGGGGAGTCTAGGATGAAGAGGTGGTTCAAAGGAGGGAAAATGACCTCTACTACCTGGCGTGTGGGGCTAGGGTTCAGGGAGGCGGTGGCGTTTCACTGGGCCTTCCTGGATGAATAGGAGTTTGCCAGGCAAAGAAGTGAGGTGGGAAGGCCTTCCGAACACAGGGAACAGATGCGTGTCTTCTCAGTTCTCACACCTTCAATCCCATAAACCCTAGAGAATGTACATTTTTAAGTTGTATTTTCTGGCTCTCAGAGAAGTTTGGTGATCATTGGTGAGTTCTTTCTGTTGCTACAGAACAAGAGTAAACATTTGACCCTCCTAGACATACATTTTCTCTAATATTAACAAGAAGCCAGGATTTTAGTAAGGCAAATGGGTTATGCTCCCTACTCACAATTGTTCCTCTGGGAGGTTTTACTGATTTTTACTTTTTTAGGTCAGCAAAGAAAGGAATATTAAATCTGTTTTGTTTTGTTTTTTGGAGACTAGTAAACGCATCAGTCATCAACGAGAGCCCTGGTCTCGCCTGTTTTTCACACTAGGATGGGAGAAGACATAACTACCCTCATATATGGCTCTTCATTTTGGCCCTTCTGAGCTTCCTATGCATTCCTAAAAGTTATCTCAAACCCATGTGGACACCCAAGACCAGTCTGCCACAGAAATGTGCTAATTGCTCATTTTAGCTCAAGATAAACACACCAATATTTCAAGACGGCCTATGAGGTTATGAGAAAGTGAGCAAGGCATTCCTGCAAGAGTGGAAAGAACGGTCCTCCCAGCCAACACCCTCATTCAGCAAGGGTGTGGAAACCAGGACCCAGGGAGGTGCCCGGACTGGCCCAGGTTGCCCTGAGCCGGGCCAGAGCCCTGACCCGAAGAAGCTGCGGCAGGAGGGGGCGGAAGACCGAGAGGACAAGCCGGGCAACAGGGCAGAAGCATTTTGGGGAACTGAACCATCAGGGCAGTGTCTGATGCACTTCCTCTCCCACACTCCGCCCCCACTCGCCCCGTCTCTCTGGTCTTTCCTTTTCTCTCGTGGCAGGGCTGTGCGTCAGTTTCTGAAAAGTGGGGACATTTCCTGCCGCCTTTGCAACACTGCGAAGCTGTCTTAAGGGAGGCTGGGCCCCATTGGAGAGCCAGGCCGGGAAGTGAAGGCCTGGGGCCGCCCAGCTGGGAGAGAGCCCCCCACCCTCTCCCTGTCTCCTGCCGGCTCGCAGCCTCCTCTTCCCCGGACACACCATGTCCCTGGCTGAGGCCATCAGACTCTGGAATGAAGGGGTGCTGGCAGCCGACAAGAAGGACTGGAAGGGAGCCCTGGACTCCTTCTCCGCAGTCCAGGACCCCCACTCCAGGATCTGTTTCAACATCGGCTGCATGCACACAGTCCTGGGAAACTGGGCAGCAGCAGAGAAGGTGGGTGAGTGAGTGAGTGAGTGAGTGAGCCAGCCAGTGAAGGTGCTTCGCCCCCCTCCCCCGCCTCCTCCCAGCCTTTGCGATTAGCGATTAGCGTTCTCACCCTGGCTGCCCTTGAGAAACCTCTCAGAAGCTTTGTAAGAACCAGAGCTGTGCAGGCCCCACCACAGAGGGGCGGCCAGGCTGGGAACCACCGTGGGTCCCGCTCTCCTTTCTTCTCCATCTATTAACTCCACATCACTCGCTCTGGAATCGATCTCTAACCCCTGTATGAAGACTTCCCTGGTGATGTTTTCTTCTATGAACTCCTGCTGTCCACACTCAGCATCTCAAGGCTTCGCACCTGCTGAAAAACGCCTCTTGCTGGCTTTCCAAGACTTTTGCATGTGTGGTGAGCTTTACCCAGGTGTGTGGTGAGCTTTGCCCATGAGGTCGAGGGGAGGGCCTGAAGTAAAACAGGTGTCACCTATGTGACCACTCACCTACAGGACTATGAGGTGGGCACTCTTGTATCCAAGACTTTTGCATGTGTGGTGAGCTTTACCCACGTGTGTGGTGAGCTTTGCCCATGAGGTCGAGGGGAGGGCCTGAAGTAAAACAGGTGTCACCTATGTGACCACACTCACCTACAGGACTATGAGGTGGGCACTCTTGTAAAGATTCTGAGGCTGGTGGAAGGGAATGATGCAGTGATTGATTACCGATGTCTGCCCGGGGCACCCCTGCTGGGTGTTTTAGCATCTTTTTCAAATGCGTTTCCTCTCTCATGTTCCTGGGTAGGGGGTTGGACATTCAAGCATCACCTTTTGGATTGGTGATGGGAAGCTGGAAGGGTACGGAGTTTGGAAGCAGAAGACAGAGAATCAGACCTCAGCTCTGCCTCTTTCTGGACCTGGGTCCTCAGCAAGTCTGTTTCTTGAACATCTTGAGGTTAAGTGAGGCACCACATGTCGAAATGCCATGATACTTTGTAGCAGGTTGTGAATATTAGTTCTTGTTTTTACCTTTAGCCAGACTTTGTAAGGCCTGGAGGACAGATAACTGGCTCCCCAGGCTCCTTCAAGAGCCTGTTCCTCCCATAGCCATCCTCACTGGGACCAGAAGTGAGCAAAGAAGAGGGAGCAGAGAAGCTTCTTGGAAGACCTTGTAGACTGACAAATCCATCTCAGGTCCAGAGTGGGCAGACCGGAGCACACGGGGGGGCCCCCACCTCCTCTCAGGGGCCTGCCAGGGGGCTGAGCAAATAGCACCACAGATGCTAAGAGCTGCTGGAAGCAAAGTGAACATCAAGGGGGAGGAGCTTGGCAGTGATGCCAACAGGGGCTCTGGCACGGCTGGGCAGGCCACCCCTCAGCTCTGGGCTCCCTCCATGCCTTCCTGTCCCTGCTCTGGATGGCTCCCTACATTCTGCTCTCCCTTCTCCCTCTCTCTGATGTCCTGCTTGAGTCCTTACTCCTGGCATTTTATATGCATTCATATTTGTTATTATTTTAATTGTGTCATACTTATGTGATAAATGTGTATACCATACACAAATAGAACACTATCTAACATTTTAATTATTTTTATATCTAGTTACTTTTACGATTGTAATCCTGTCAGTGCTCTTGAAAGATATGAACATCCCCATTTCACTGAGGAGAACACTGAGGCCCAGGGAGATTAGGTGACTTGCCTCACCTCACGCCATCAGGAAGTGACGGCACAGGGCGCTCTGATCCCGGCGTCACTGGAAAGACACCACCATCCTCATGCCCCTGGTTGCCTCCTCGCCCTCTGGCTCGTCCCACACCTCCTCACGGCCAGCTCCTCCTCGCACCCAGGTGAAACCTCCCTCTCTCCACAGGCCTTCTCCAGAACCATTAACCGAGACAAACACTTGGCAGTGGCCTACTTCCAGCGAGGGATGCTCTACCACCGGATGGAGAAGTAAGTGGCCCGGTGCTGCACAAGCTGGGGGAGTTCGCAGAGAAACCCCGAGGGGTCTCGGGGCTGCTGGCCTGGGAAGTTGAGCAGTGTCTCCCAGCTTCTGGTGGGGAGCGTGGCTGAACCTTCCCTGGGCAGTTACGCAATCTGTCAGCATGAGGCTTCCCCAGGGAGGAGGTCAGCTGTGTCATAGCTCACAGTGGGCCCACGGAACCAGCACAGGCTGGGGATGCAGCTGCGGTGGCACCGCACAAGCATCCCTATGGTGCTGATTGTGAATGGCCCCAGCCATCAAGGGAAGACTCTGCTGGCCCCCTGCTGGGAGGCACTGAGCTGTCACACTGTGAGGATTCTCATTTCATTCCTGCAGAATGTATTTTCTAAAGCCTAGTTTAAGCCATTCAATGAAATATTATTCAGCCACCACAATGAGAAAACAAACTATTAACATTATATGTACAAGAATATGTTAATACAGGTAAATAAGTAGCATATATTAATGTAGGGGAAAGTTCATAGATTATCTTAATTAAAACACAGGTTTCAAAACAGTATGGATAGCGCAAGCCCTCTTCTGTTTCGAAGAGTGTCTGTGGAAGGCCGTAGACCAAAACGGGTCAGCAGTTCTCTCTGGGGGGTGAGCTTGGAGGGGTTTCCATTTTCTTCTATCAGCCTGTCTGTATTTTTTTGGTGTGTTTACAGTCACCACAAAAATAATTAGTAAAAAAAGATAACTAAATAGAAAATCAAAGTTAATCTCAATGTCATTCCCCTCCCCCAAGTACCCCAATAACAAATATGCAAATAACAAAAGAAAAATATTCTCAGCGTTAACATAGAAGGTTTGTAGAAATCGCTCATTCCATTAGTGGGCACAGCTCTAGGGGAAAGGATTTGGGCTCAGGCCAATGAAGAACTTCCAGGGGAAATGGTCGGAGCATGATGTGGGTGGTGTCGTGCCCCTGTGCTCAGCTATCGCCAGGGGCAACTACAAGCAGCTCAGACTTCCAAGATGTAGATGCAGTCAGTTATCTGAATCAGCAAGGGAAGTAAGGTCTTCCCGAGAGAAAGACCACACAGAGGCCCTCTGGGGACAGAGCCTGGGATTGAGGCGGACAGCAGATTCAAGGAAGCCTGAGCACAAACCCTCCAGCGAATCTTTAATCCTAAGAGACCAACTAGCAGGCCATCCTTTAATTAGCTCCAACAGCTTATAATGAGGAGAGGAAATGCTCCCGGGAGAAATTTCTACATGAAAATGCCCAGAAATCCCTGAGCCCGAAAGGCTTGGATTCCGAGAGAGTCAGAAAGATCTTAGAAAGATCTAGAAATAAGACCCGGGATTTAATTAGCATGCGATTGATAGCAGTCAAATCTGAGAGAGAAATCTACCAAATGTGATCTTTAATTCAACAGCAAAGAGGGGAGGAAATAATATAAACGAGGCACTGTTCTCACCTTAAGTCGCCTCCTTTCCTTTCGCTCAGTCCATAGGCTTTGGTGTCCTCCTCTCCAAGGTTCTGCTCTTGACGCTTTTCCCTTTTATCCCTATAGCAGTGGTTGTTAAATGGCAAACTGCGTGGGTTATCTTCCCAGAAACACACACACACGGCAGGTTCAGGGGGGTCAATGTCCCCTGAAAACCCATACCCGAACTCTTAGGGACCCCACCTTCTCCCATTGCGTCGGCCTCCACCTGGAGCCAACAGGCTACTGAATCTCTACCTGAGATCAACCCAGGATGTCTCCTCTCCTACGCCTTGTCAAGCCAACCTCTTAAATATCTCTTAAAGTCACCCATTCTTCTCCATCCCCACCAGCTGGTTTAGATCTCATTTTTCACCAGAACTGCTGTAACTGTTGGGGGTGGTGAGAACGGCCGCGGCACCAGGTGTTAGGCCGGTGGGGTCAGACTGGACCGGGGTTCAGCAACCTCAGTACTTGAGTTCTGACGAGGAAAGATTTCAGAGCCAAGACTTAAATATATGGAAAATCACAGACGTAAGAGGTAATTTGTAGAAGAAATGGGCGTAGGAAACAAGTTATAGAGTTAAAGAAAGGACCCGTGGAGCTTAGAAGTGAGGAAGTCAAGGTGACCCGCCTGGGGGAAAGGGAAAGGCAAGGGCATACTCCGGGAGGGTCCTCCATTTCCAGGGTTTTAAGGGTGGACACTTGAGGGGAGATCCTGGGGGAAGATCTCCGTATTCAACCGTTTTCCAGGTGTGTCCTTTCAGGGTTGAGCCTCCACTGATTGCTGGTGGGCTCCAGGGCACGGGGTCATTATTCAGTGCAGCTGGTCCTGAGGTCAGCCATGGGTCACGGGTCTGGTTTTGCTGCTTTTCTGGGCCTGGAGCTGAAATACAACTGAGGCCTAGATGTTGTCTCTAGGGAGGAAAGGTGAGGGGGTCCAAACCGCATGACTAGCTATAGGCTAGCCTAGCTGTTAGGGGAGGAAAAGTCACCCTGGGAGGGAGGTCCCACCCTACAATTGTCCTCTGCTAGTCACCCAGGGCTTTCAGTCCTGGTGACCTTCTGCACCTGGCCCACCGTCCTTGCTCTGTTCATGTCTGTCTAACTGCCTACCACATAACCACTTCCACATTAATTTCCCAGCCACCAGGACAACATGGGGGCGCATGTCTGAGAAGGCAGGTGTCTCAGGGAGGGCCCTGGCCAGACAGTCTCCTTCTCTCCCCTCAGCCTGTTATCTGAAAGGGGGAGGAAGCTGTAGGTGGTCAGACCACCGGCCTTATGAATCTGAAGGGCTAGGACAGCAACAGTGAGACCCTTTAGATCAGCGGTTCTCAACCTGTGGGTCGAGACCCCTTTGGGGGGTCGAACGACCCTTTCACAGGGGTCGCCTAAGACCACCGGAAAACACATATATAATTACATATTGTTTACAGTAGCAAAATTACAGTTATGAAGTAGCAACGAAAATAATTTTATGGTTGGGGGTCACCACAACATGAGGAACTGTATTAAAGGGTCGAGGCATGAGGAAGGTTGAGAACCGCTGCTTTAGATGTTGCTGACGCAGCCATCTTTGTCCTGCAGTCAGTCTTTGACACCGAAAACTGTGACCTCCAGACCTTCACGGAGGTGTTTGACATGTTTACTTTATTCAGCTGCTAAACCTCTCCTTTATCCTGGACTCTTGATGGCCTGGGGGTGGATAGAACGGGAACAATGAGAAACACAGCAGTTACTAAGAAACCTTTCCAGGGGGTGTTACAGAAATCAGGCAAGCCTGCCCTGGCGGGTGAGCCCTGCCTGGGGGCGCGGGGGGTTCGGGACAGCGCAGCCAAGGCACCCAGCTGGGGTGTCATTGGGAACCCGCAGAAGCTGCCAGCACCTTAGCTTCCTAGGGACACTGTGCCTTCCAAGTGGCACCAAAGAGAACTGAAGGCAGCTGGAGGCGGGCGGGGGCTGCACGCTGTTTTGGGGCCTCACACTGAGCTGATTCAGACCCCGTGCAGGGGAAGCCGAGCAAGTTGGGGGCGGAGCAGAGGCCTGCTGCGGGCAGTGGGGTGCTGCTTTCAAAGTAAACACTGACATTTCAGCAGGGCGCCCTCCCTGTTTTTTTAACAAGCGCTTTGAATAATGGGTGGGTTCCTTCCCTCTTCCTCCCACGGGCCCAGATCTTTAGACATCCCAGGGGCTGGAGAATTGTGAGCTGGACTTGTTGGGATCATTCAATACCGGGTGACCCGATGGTGTCACTTCCCAGCTGAAATCCATCCACTTCGCCAGCGCTTTTGTTAGGAGGAAGCTCGTTGTAGGTTAATGCTGACGGTGCCCGTAGGGTGCCCTCTGAGGACCTCGGGCGCCTCTGGCACAGGCAGGGGACACCTGGAACAGCATGTGCGGAGGAACAGGACAGCTGCGTCTCCGTCTGCCCCTCCTCCGTGGCTCAGGGAATCGGCGCCAGTCACCCATCTTCCAGCCTAGAAAGAAGGAACAGGAATCCCGGAAGGATGTGTTAAGGTCTTGAAATGCGTCTTGCTTTGTAAGGAATGGCCTGCACGCTTTTCATAGGTTTTACACTCCTCTTTAAAACAAGGGCATGTTGGAGCTTCTCCCCAACCACCTCCCTTAGGACTCTCTGACCAGCCACCCTCCTGGTCAGCTCTGGCTCCCTGAGGTCAGAGTTCCAGCTTCTGCAACGGTGTATTTTCACCTCCTGATAATACTTACTACAGTCCAGGTGTTAACAAAGCAAATACTAAATGGCTGGCATGTGAATTCAATTGCCAGCGTTTGGGCGCTCTGAGGATGAGGAGACAGGCTTGGAGAAATTAAACAACTTGCCCTTTGTCATTAGATAGTAAGTGGCAGAGCCAGGAGTCAAGTCCATGTGGTTTTGACTCCAGAAGTTAGATCCGGGACCACCTACCAGCAAGCTCCTCATACTCTATGCTCCTTGAATATAATATGCTGCCGGTACACAATAACTCCTTATGTTGTGGACTGGGAGCCCGAGGGCAGGAAGTTGCCAGGGTCTCCCGGTTGGTGGCAGAGCTGATGGGTCTGGCCCCAGTCTCCTGGCCGCTGTCCGAGGGCGTCTTCACGACACCATACCACCTCCTGCGAGTCCCCAGCAGCCGGAGCCAAATCCCAGGCTTGCCTCCAAGAAAAGCCACACATGGTTGCTCTAGGTCATGGCCTGGGGACTTGTGGTTCCGTTGCCCCGTGGGAGCCACAACCAGCAGCCGGATTTGTTCCTTCTAGGCCAGGGGCCTGAGGGGTGTGGGTAGCTTGTTTGTTTCCCTGCTCCCCGACCCCACACCCGACAGGTCAGCAACAGCTCCCTCCCCGCAGGGCAGGGAGGTCAGGGGCAGGCCGAGGAGATGTGGTCCAGGTCCTGGCCACACCACCGTGGGCACTGCTGATGTGGGCACAGCAGCATCCCTGGTCTCTACTCACGAGAGCAACCCCATTCTCTGCCACGATTCCACCACCGCAGCCCTGAGACACCTTGAGCTGTCAGCCCAAGGCCCATCCGAGCAAGTACAGGGACCTGCAGAGCAGGGTTAGACATGCTCTCTGCTCCACGGTGGTTTCTCTTTTTCCAAAGAGGGGGTGGGAGAGACTAAGCAACCACAAAACCAAGAGCTAAATTGGACTCAAAAGAAGCCAAGGAGAAGGCTCTGGGCAGGAGGGAGATGCCAGCGGCTGTGAGAGGGGCCTCTCTGAGTGGCGTCCTGTGTCAACCCCAGGGGGTGCCTGCACCCTGAGTTCTGTAGAAAACTAGGGCTCAGGGTTGGCACAAACCTAGAGGATTAGAAGGGCTCCGTCCCAGGGAGACGGATGGAGAACGGGACACAGACACATTTAATTCTGCAGTTTTTCCTCCAGGCCCGGGACTGGTCTGTTTTCTCCCTCTGCCCTGCAGGTATGATTCAGCCATTACAGACCTGAAGGAGGCCTTGGCTCAGCTCCGGGGCAACCAGCTCATAGACTACAAGATCCTGGGGCTGCAGTTCAAGCTGTTTGCCTGTGAGGTGAGGAGGCAGGGCCCAGCCTGGGCAGGAGCGTGTGGGCCTGTGAAAGTATCCAGGATAATTTGCATCACTCAGGTGGACAAGCTGTTCGCCCGGCATTATACTAACAAATCCAAATCTCGGGTTCGCTATCCGTGCAGGACCTGCCGTGACCTCGCTCAGTTCCAGAGGTACAGACCACGCTCTTTGCTATTAATGGTTCTGGCCTCATGTACTTGGTTGATACCCAAAGAGAACGTGGGGATATTTTCACACAAGTCTGTCCCCTCTCGGTCAAAGAACAGCTCAAAGCACCAATTTAGGAAAGTTCTCCATAGAAGGAGAACTTATTCTCTGTCCCACTAAAAGGGAGAAACATGACTTGGATTTCAAAAGTTGGCGTACTTTTCCCAACCCACCCTCCCCACGCCCCTCTTAAATCTCAAATACTCCACTAGCTTTGAAAACTACAATCCCTGCAAATGTCACAGATCTTTATTTAGAAGAATCACTGGAGAAAGTCTCCCTGTTTTAGTTTCTCCAGCGGGAGAAGCCAAGTGTTTCCAGGGTCGCCCGGGGCTAATAATAGCGCCAGCAGCTGCCCAGGCCCCTGGGGACACCCAGCCCTGCGGCAGGCTAGTGGCTTCCTTCACTGCTCCCAGGCCAGGGCAATGAGGCTTTGCGGTGGGAACTGCCTGCCATTTGACCAGCTGCTACGATAGGGTTTCTCAACCGTGGGCATGCTGGACCAGGTCGTTCTTGGCTGTAGGGCACTGTCCTGTGTATTGTAGGATATTTAGCAGCATCCCTGGTCCTACTCACTAGAGGCCAGTCGTCCCCCACCCCCAGTGTGACAACCTAAAACATTACTAGGTAAGGCCAATCGCCCCAGAGCGAGAACCACTTATATAGCTTTAAGGGCTGGGGGACCAAGTAGCTCTAGAGCAGCGGTTCTCAACCTGTGGGTCGCGTCCCCTTTGGGGGCCAAGCAACCCTTTCACAGGGGTCGCCTAAGACCATCGGAAAACACATATGTAATTGCATATTGTTTTTGTGATTAATCACTATGCTTTAATTATGTTCAATTTGTAACAATGAAATTGGGGGTCACCACAACATGAGGAACTGTATTAAAGGATCGCGGCATTAGGAAGGTTGAGAACCACTGCTCTAGAGAGGACCATGAAACAGTGGCATCGAAGCAAGGCTCCATGGGAGGAAGCTCCTCCTGCAACTGGCATTGAGGTGACCTGGGCAGGAAATGCTGGGTGTGTATGGGCCTCTCTACAAGGGACGCTGGGCTTTCCAGGGTCCAAGGCCCCTCTGCCACCTGGGACCCTCCAGTCATCCCCCTGCTTATAACCCCCCTTGCCTTCCCCAGGGTAGAACCCTGGCTCTGAGAAACCCCACCATCCTTTTTAAAAGGAGGCCCAACCTTTTCCAGTAATGGAGTCATAAAAACCTGGTGTGGAAAAGGTCTAAAAAGAAGGGGGCTGAGATGGAAGAGGGAGTTTTAAAGGGCCTTGAGTTTTCCTCTCTTCCTGCACACACGGTCAAGGGAGGGCCGGGCCAGCCAAGTGTGGATGCAGGAGCAACTGCTCATTGAGGCCCAGAAATAACCTGGGAAGGGAGTTTGGTGGTGTTTTTTAGTGTGTGTGTGTGTGTGTGTGTGTGTGTGGTATTTTTTTGGGGGGGGGGTTGTTTTTTATCTTGCTGATGCATCTAAAAGATGTGATTCTATGTGTAAGTTGTGAAGCATAATAATAAAACTCATAAACCTACCACACAACTCAAGACCTGGAAAAGTATGGCTGTTGGTGAATGGGCTGTTCCCTCCCGCCTCGGGTGAGGCGCTGCCCTAGGCTTGGGCCGAGTCTCTTCCCAGCTGTGGCCCATAGAGCGTCCTCATTCCCATATGACTGTTTCAGTCTTGCTAGTGCCGTGTCCCAGGCAGGGTCTGCGGGTGCTGGAGCAGGATGATGCATCTGGAACCCTCTTCCTCCCCACCCTGCACCTGTCCAGTCTCTCAGGCCAGGCTCAGCGGCAGGAGGTGTTTGAGAGGCCGCACACATGTATTCTATTCCCAGCTCTTCAAGGGGTCTTGAGCCTGTCACTCTTCTTGATACTAAAGCAACACAATAGTTGTTTCCCCCGGACCTACTTGGCTGTCAAAACCTGTACACGATATTGGATGTATGCATTACGCCCCGGACCTACTTGGCTGTCAAAACCTGTACACGATACGATGTTGGATGTATGCATTATGTGATGATGTTCACTCAACCCCGTCCGTGTGCTGGGCATGAGTCTGTAGCAAGATCGATGTCTATTTCAGACATTCCCAGGAGAGCTGGGCGGGGGAGAAATGTCCCCAGGCATCATGCCAGCTCCTCCTGGTGCCTGGGTTTGGAGCAGCCCCTGGTCTTACGGTGTGGCCTGTGCTTTCCTAGGTGTTATATAACATTGCTTTCATGCACGCCAAGAAGGAGGAATGGAAAAAGGCCGAAGAACACTTAGCACTGGCTATGAGCATGAAGTCTGAGCCGAGACATTCCAAAATTGACAAAGCCATGGAGTGTGTGTGGGTAAGCGCGCTGGAGATGTGGGTGCGGGGAGGACGTCATTGGATCTGGGTTTGTTCCAGTGGGCATGTGGATTGAGAAACTGTGGATGTGGTGCTTTTACTTCCTCTGAGTCCTGGGGAACACTCGTCTGGGGGTGTAACTCCACGCAGGATTCTGAATCTGGAAGTGATCAGAAGCAGAGGCCTGGAGTATAGGACAGCAGAGCCCTGCCCAGGCCGCCCCCAAGTGGGGCTCCGTGGCACACGCGGGGACCAGGAGGCTGGAGCCAAGCAAGGGCAGAGGCTGTGCCTGCTCTGCTTGCTCACCGTTGAGTCCTGGCAGCCTGGTGTGATGCCAGGCACATGAGATGGCTCTCAACAAAAATGCATTGATGATATGGACAAATGCTGAAAATTATCCGTAGCTTGTCTGAGCACATTTGGGATGAAACTCCTTTTAAATCAGATTTTTAAAACACCAGGAACAAGAGAGCACAGGTCTGTCTTAACATGCCTGCCTGCCCTCGCCCGTTTGGCTCAGAGGTTAGAGCACCGGCCTGCCACTGAACGGTCATGGGTTCCATTCCGGTCAAGGGCACCTACCTCGGTTTCAGGCTCAATCCCTGGCCCTGGTCGCAGAGCCTGCAGGAGGCAACCAATCGATGTCTTTCTCTCACATCGATGTTTCTCTCTCTGTCTCTCCTCCTCCCTTCCACTCTCTATAAAAATCAGTGGGAAAAGTGTCCTTGGTGAGGATTAACAAAAAATAATAACAAACATGCCCAAGTCAGCAGACACTGGTCCCAGGAGAGCACTGTTCTGGCCAGTCTGGTGGTGGTGGTGGCGGCGTCTCCTACACTCGGAGTGACAGCCCCATCCAAGTCCCACAGAGTGGGAGAGGGGCAGCTCCCCTGGGAAAGGGTGCTGGGCAAATAACACCAACAGGTCCACACAATCCCTCAGGAAAGCCTACCCGAGCTGGCCCTGGTCGCAGAGCCTGCAGGAGGCAACCAATCGATGTCTTTCTCTCACATCGATGTTTCTCTCTCTGTCTCTCCTCCTCCCTTCCACTCTCTATAAAAATCAGTGGGAAAAGTGTCCTTGGTGAGGATTAACAAAAAATAATAACAAACATGCCCAAGTCAGCAGACACTGGTCCCAGGAGAGCACTGTTCTGGCCAGTCTGGTGGTGGTGGTGGCGGCGCCTCCTACACTCCGAGTGCCAGCCCCATCCAAGTCCCACAGAGTGGGAGAGGGGCAGCTCCCCTGGGGAAAGGGTGCTGGGCAAATAACACCAACAGGTCCACACAATCCCTCAGGAAAGGTGACGCCTACCCGAGACACCCTGAAACAGTAACAAGTTCCATCCCTACACGTTTAGAAAAGGTGCTTTTGTGAGGTTATCTGGCTGTATCCCTGCGCGCACTCGGGAGGGAGCAGGGCAAGCCTGGTGACCTGGGCTGTATGGTAAGGAGACACTGTGCTCTCTGCCTCGTAGAAGCAGAAGCTGTACGAGCCGGTGGTGATCCCTGTGGGCAGGCTCTTTCGACCAAATGAGAGGCAGGTGGCCCAGCTGGTGAAGAAGGATTACCTGGGCAAGGCTACGGTAGGTGGCTCTCAGCTTCCCTGGCGTCTTCTAAGGCCTGGGCCATGCAGAGCAAGGTGGGGGTGGGGGGTGGGGGGGGCGGACTTTGGAAAGGACACCCCACGTGGTTCTGCCCTGGGATGGCAAGGAGAGACCGTTTATAGCGTGGGGTCTTGCTGAAAGGTGCTTCTAGTTTGTTTTCTCCAGGCTCCTCTTGTTCCTCCCTTCCACCTGCCCCTGGGCGGGGGCCGCAGGGTGACTCGCAGGATGCTGGTTTCGGGGACCGAGCCAGTGGGAATGGATCGGGCTGGGAGGAAGGAGGGGGAGTCTCGGGGGCCATAGGCAGATAGGGAAACAGTGCTGGCAGAGCCCTCACCCCGCTTCCTCGATTTCAGGTGGTGGCTTCTGTGGTGGATCAAGACAGCTTCTCGGGATTTGCCCCTCTGCAGCCGCAGGTGAGGGTGCTTCCTGCTCCGTGGATCAAGGTCCCAGAGGGGGGAGGGCTCTGTGGGACTGCCCACGGGGAGGGCTCTGTGGGACTGCCCATGGGGAGGGCTCTGTGGGACTGCCCACAGGAGGGCGTTTCCACTGCCTCACCTCAAGGGCTCCTTGCACTGGCCTCACAGTGCTGCTGAGGGTCCTGCTGGCCATTCCTGTCACAGGCTCCAGGCTCATTTGGTCGAAAGAGCCTGCCCACAGGGTGGGGCATGAAGCAGTTGGAGGCTTAACCAGCCTCAAGTCCTCAAGAAACAAACCCTCCCGCTTGCCCCCGGTGCCAGTCTCCACTTCTCAAGGTCTAGGAGAGCTGAGGGCTGTCTCTCCTGAAGCTTCGACTGAAATGCAAGCTGCCAGAGGCCTTTGAACGAGTCCTCTTCTCAGGCACAGGGGCTGCTAGGGGCCTCCCGGGGGCTGGGGCCTGAGGCCCTGAGCTCTCCTGGCGGCACCTATCGCCTGCGTGCAGGGGGTTCCCCTGGGAACACAGGGAGGGTGCCCACAGTGGACTGGATGGCAAGGGGTCCATGCGAAGGCAGAGCTTCCTTGTGAGGGAGGAGGGTAAGACAGGCCGAGCAGGAGTCGGGCTCTGCTGCGAGAGACCCATGATGGGCAGGAGCGCTGGTCAGCACTGACAGGGCCGGGGCTCCGAGGGCACTGCCGACAGCCTGCCCGGGTCAGAATGGTGACCGCTGGCCCCGAACGTGACCAGTGCTGGGGCTCAGAGGCTGAGATGAGCAGAGGAGAACAGAGTCCAGATGCATTGATCTTTCTCACACTAAATTGCGAGAAACCTCTCAGAAGGCCCTTGGGCTTCGAGCAGCCAGACGGCTCCAAGAGGAGCAGGTGCCAGGTAACTGGACTCCGTGGTGCTCGGTGTAGAACAGGAAATGCACATTGAAAGGAGAGTCTCGCCCGGTCGGTGGCTCTGGAGTCGATTTTAAACACCCACCAGTGTCATGTGACAGCGCAGACATTAATTATAGAACAGAGCTTTTGGAAACCGCCCCAACAAAGGGCAGAGCTCAAGGTCAAAGGCATCCTCATGACGCCATGCTGCTCTGCGACAGACCAACTTCTCCGGAACCAGGTCTGGCCCAGGACGAGCTGCTGTGCTGGTGATGCTGGCCTGGGAGCGGGAGGGCGTTCCTTTCCAGTGTTTAGTCCGGGTGCACTGTGCCTCTCCCGGGACGGTGTTCTGATGGAGCCACAAATGCCGTCTTTGGTTTTCTGGTCGGAAAGAAGGCTGCAGTGACCATTAACAGTCTGTTCTCTTTCTTTCTTTCGTGTCCTGCCCGTCTTCATCTCTCTTTGATGTTCAATAGGCAGCGGAGCCTCCACCCAGACCCAAAACCCCCGAGATCTTCAGGTAAGTTAGGGTTAGATCAACAGGCCGACCAGCCAAGCTCCAAGCCTGGACCGATGGGAGTGGCGGGGGTGGACACTGGGGGCCTGGCTACCGCTACGTGGTGTCCCTGTGTCCCCTGTCCATGTGCACAGCCACCATACAGGGAGAGGTTGTTGCTGAATGGCAGGAGTGTCCCATGGGACGCAGCCACCCCTCCCAGCGGGGGAACGCTGGCCTAGGGCTGCAGGGGGCCGAGCTCTGGAGTCTGGCGAGCAGCGTGGGAGCCAGAAGGGCTGTTTTCACTCCCTATTGGCACATGTTTTCTGAAGAAGAGGAAGGACTCAAGAAAAAGAAGTCATTCTCCTGTAAGATGAGAAGCACAGCTTTCATAAGAACTGCGTCTCAGTGAGGAAGTTAGCCTCGCTCCCCACCCAAAAGAGGTTTAAAACAGAGTGAAAAAAGTTCCAGAGCAGCTATAAAAATGGGGGGCCTGGGTGAGCTCATTCCTAACTGTCTGCTGGAGGCGTCTGTGTAAATAGACACAAGGGTCGGGAACAAAAGAAGGGCGAGGGGACAGTGCCAGCGGGGAGCGAGGGGAGGAACGTGAAACTATCGCCACCGGAACCCGGCCTCTTGGTCACATGTGCCGAAGCGCCCCAGCGCCCTGAAGAGCTAAGTAGGAAGGGAGGAAATGACCTTGTGTAGCTCACAGTGGGCAGCCTCAGTACCTCCACACACACCCCTACTCCTCACAGCTCCCTCTGCAGGCACCTCATCCCCGTCCGTCCGTGTGCCTGCCTGACCCCTCACTGGCTCCAGGTGACTTCTCTGCTCGCCCAGCTGGCTCTCACCTGGTCCACCCGGGCCCAGACATGGGAGCTGGCCAGGCACACCAGGAGCCTTCCTCCCAGGGAAGGGAGGGCAAGGACCGCAAGGCCTCTATATCCACACGGTTTTCTTTTATTCTTGTCCCACTGCATAGATGGCTGTGAAGCAGGTTCACATACAGTCCCTACCGCGCCCTCCTGGGTGCCCAGGGAGGCACGTGCCTGCTCAGGGTCACACAGACAGTTGGACGTGGAGTTGGAGGGTGTCTGGAGCAGTCTCCCGGGAGGGGATGTGCTCCAGGCCAGAGAGTGGACAGGATCTCGTGTCTACCCCTCAGGGCCCTGGAAGGGGAGGCGCACCGTGTGCTGTTCGGGTTTGTGCCCGAGACACCAGAGGAGCTCCATGTCCAGCCCGGGAACATCGTCTTTGTCTTGAAGAAGGGCAGTGACAACTGGGCCACGGTCATGTTCAACGGGCAGGTATTCAGGGGACCTGGGGGTGGCTTGGGGGTATGGAATCCTGGCAGCAAACGGCAGAGCTTTCTGAGAACCCCTATCTGCTACCTTCTTTGCAGAAGGGGCTTGTTCCCTGCAACTTCCTCGAACCCGTGGAACTGCGGATCCAACCTCAGCAGCAGCCCCAGGTAAGTGGCACCAAGGCCTGACCCCCTCCACCCCCGCCCAACCACTGACGACCTCCCCATGGAGGGGGAAGAACCGTGTTGGAAACGTCACCATCACTGAAGAAAGAGTCATGGGTCCTGAGCGCAAGGAGTGGCACCAGCTGCCCAGAGTGGAACCTGGGATGAGGGGAAAATCCAGATGTGCTGAGTAGGAGGTCTTTGGGACTGATTGGGCCCACCCACCTTGTGATTCCTCCTGGTCACAGGACCCAATGCCCACAACATATGAAGGTTAGGTCTTCCCAGAAATGTCCTCTTCACCTGGAAAAATAGTCAAAGTGTTGCTTGGTGAAATGCCACAGAGAGAGAGGGGGGAGGAGAGGGAGAGGAAGAGGGGGAAAGAGAGGCAGGGGGGAGATAGAGATATCTGCTTTAGAGCACTGCTCTGGAGCTGCTACCAGCCCCTCCACTGCCCCTCAAGGGCCCACCCTCCTGCTGGGCCTGAGCGGAGTATAGATGGCTGGGCAGTGCAGCAGGCGTCCCATGTGGGCCTGGTCCTCCCTGGTTGGAATCGTGGCATCAGATGACTGGAAAGGTTTAAATGAGGGCGATTAGGCAGCAGGGGCCTTGAGGAGGGGTGGATTCTTATTTCTACGGTGGTTTGTTTCCACCAGGCCCACCCTGCCTCCCCTTTTAACCCACTTTCCTTCGTCTCCCCGGTCCCCTCCATGTCACCAGCACCCCTGCCTTTAGGAAGTCATTTGCACCTGGCTCTCTTCCTGGGGTCTGCAGGTCTCCCCCTCCCCGACTCCTACTCTGGCCTAAGAACTGCGTCAGGATGAAAGTTCTCACCATCTCTTCCTGTCCCGAGCAGGACGATGCCTCCCCGGAGTCCGATATCCCAGCTCCGCCCAGTTCCAGTGCTCCAGGAAGACCCCAGCTGTCACCAGGTGAGTGTCCTTGGAGCGACATCCAGGGCAACGAAGGAACCCTCCAAGCTGCTTGCAGGAAATTCTGGTTTCTTTTCCTCTCAGCAAGCCACTCAGCTCATGGCCACTCAGCCCCAGAGCCCCGTCTCCTGCTCTAGCCACCCACCCGCCCAGCACACAGGAAAGAGACGCCCCTTCCCCCTGCCTGCTGCAGAACACCCACGGGGCCTGGGTAAATGGGGCTGGTTTGGGGGTCGGGGGTAGTGAGTGTCTTAAGTCGTCACCAAACCCCTCAGTCAACACTGAAACCACGGTGAAGTAACTGCTCGTTTACCACAGAGGGTCGGGATGGTTCTTTTCAAAGGCCTCAGGAGCTCTATTATCTGGAAAAGAAATCCTCTGCAGAGCCTCCGGGGACGACAAAGGACCCAGGGGCAGACGGGCAGGGGAGACCCTCCCGCTGAGTGGAGAGCGCTGCTGCCTCCGGAGGAACGGGCTTGCTTTCTGCCACGAGTGCAGTTTAAGCAGATTCTGAGTGTTTGGTAGAGATCCAGTGATCATCACACCCACCAGGTCATCGGAATCCCCTGGATGCTCCCCACACCTGTTTTTATTCAGAAAAATGTTAAAACCACAGAAAATATGGTACAAAAAATACCAGAATACCTTTCACCTAAAGTCACCAACTGTTAACACTTGCCCTGCTCCTCTCTCTCTCTCTCTCTCTCTCTCTCTCCCTCTCCCTCTCTATATATATGTATGTATGTATACACACACACATATATTTCCCCTGAGTGATTGAGCCACTTACAGATTTATGACACTTCACCCCACACATCAGCATGTATCTCCTAAGATTAAGGACATTCTTCTCCATAACCCCAATTCAACTGTTACACCCAGGACATTTAACATTAATTTTATAGAATGTACTAGTATATTGCATATTCAATTACTCTGATTATCCTCCAAAGTATCCTTGCTAGCTTTTTGGTATCTCTTTCTGTCTAGGGGCCTATCAGGGATCACCTATTAACCTAGGAAGATTTTAACAGTATAAATCCCTAGGTTTCTTTATTCTGATATTTTAGACCTGGAATTAGCTTAGGAATCTGTATTTCTACAAAAAAACTTCCCAAGTGATTTTAAGTCAAGCTTGGTTTGAGATCAGTGGTCTTTTATTATTATTATGAATCCCCCATAGTGTAGTTATGAATACTTCTTGTATATAAGTGATATGCATCTTGCCATATCAATATATTATACACATTGAAAACATACACAAAAATAAAGGATAAGGTAAAAATAAGTGGTTCTATCTAACATTTCTTCTGTGGCCCCTGGCTCACCTCCCATTCCCTGTTTGTCTTTGCTTTGGAGGCCCTGGTTCCACCCTGCTGACCCCAGGGGTTGGTGAGGATGGGCAGTCCTTTGATAATTACCCATAGCTCCCTGGAAGCAGAGACTGGGTTCCTGTGTGCATTCATGGCTTTGCTCTTCGCATGTCCCCACAATAAGGTTAATAGTTACCCTAGAGATGAAAGGGTATGACGTTGGGTGCCCTGTTCTAAGAGGTTTCATTCTGAGTATGAAAGGGGCTGGTCAAGAGTGTCCATTCATCTTCTCTTTTCACTCCTTCCCTTCTCCGTTTAGGTCAGAAAGAAAATGAAGAGCCCAAGGTAACATTTTGCCTTGTACTATTTCAAGTGGTAGAGAACGGGAGAGTGTGGGCTGTCCACCACGGGCATGTGTCCCTGGATAGAAAATAGCCCCAAAGAAAGGGCCGACCAGTGCCACCACGCTCACAGCCATGCCCTGGGGACCCCTCCACAACCTCCCGCCCCATCCCACGTACACATTTCCTGCTGGCCCGTAGCTGGTGGGCCGGATCTCCCTGGGTAGGAATTCCTGTCCAAGCAAGAGCTGGGCTAGATGACCTCCGAAGACCCTTCACATTACTTACTGAAACCAGTTACGTGTTGGCCTCTCCCGGCTACATAGTCCTCCCTGTGCTACAGTAAAGCTGTGGCGAGCCAGGAGGTTGCTAAGAGGAAGCACAGACACTCATGAGTTCCCTTTGCTTCCTCTCCCCTCAGGAAATAAAGCTCAGTGTTCCCATGCTCTACACACTCAAGGTGCACTACAAGTACACGGTGGTCATGGAGACCCAGCCCGGACTCCCCTATAGCCAGGTGCGGGACATGGTGTCGAAGAAACTGGAGCTCCCGCCAGAACACACCAAGCTGAGGTGAGCGCCGTGCAGGTGGCCGTTAGGGGACAGCTGGGGACCTGGCGCTGGCCTAGAGGACAGAAGAGGATGGTTTTGCACTGACTTCTCTGACTTGGTTCTTACTCATTATCTCCACCCAGCTATCGGCCCGGGGACAGCCAGGAGCTAGTACCCCTTTCGGAGGACAGCATGAAGGCTGCCTGGGGCCAAGTGAGAAACTACTGCCTGACTCTGTGGTGTGAGAACACAGTGGTGAGTGCAGTGAGCCTGAGGGCACTGCGGTAGGTCATGGGCCATGTCCTCAGCAGCAATTCAACATCTAGCAGGCCCTCATTTAATTCTTCTAGCCTCAACCTCAGGTGAGGAAACAGGTCCAGAGAGGTCACACTGCTGGGAAGCGGTGGCGCTGGGATACAAGCCTAGTCTTTGGACTCCTGGCCCTTTCTACCTTATGGTACTGCCTTTCCATACAAAGGACCTGCCAGGGTTGCAGCCAATAGCACTAGGAAACGACAACTTCTAACACAGCCCAGCACTGAGCCTCGCAGTTTCTAACGCTGATTCCTTAAATCCTATGACTCACATCTCTAGAAACTACATCCTTCCCTCAACACCTGTGGGACAAAAATGACCATAATGGTCTTGGCCTTGGATAGGATGGTGCCATGCAGTGCTTCTCAAACTTTAGCATGCACCCAAATTCCCTAGAGGGCTTGTGAAAACAGATTGCTGAGCCCCATCTGATCTAAAAGGCTTGGGATGGAGCTGAAAATGTGCATTTCAAGGTCCCGCGTTGTGAGGAATGCTGGGGAGAGGGTGTCGGACTCAGAGACCTAGGTTTGACTTTGCATTCTATCATTTACTGGTCACTCAACCTGTTTCTCTATCTGAAAAGAATAGTACCTATTCAGGATTACTGTACATTTTAGGTAAGATTTTACGACTACCTGTGGTCCTGCAGACCTTGTTTCATTTATCCAACCGGCCAGTATTCATAGAGTACATGTTAGGTCTGTTAGACACCGATCCCAAATCTGCCGCTGAGTTTATATCCAGGTGCTACTGACATTTCTGACCGAATCCTTCAGGGATGATGTCCACTGTTCACTGTGCAGGAAGTTAGGAAAACTAACTGGCCCTTTATTATTTCAGGGTGACCAAGGCTTTCCAGATGAGGCCAAGGAAAGTGAGAAATCGGATGCCAATAGCCAGACATTGGAACCTCAGCTGAAGGAAGGGAGCCAAGTGGTAGCGATCTTCAGTTACGAGGCTACCCAGCCAGAAGACCTGGAGTTCCTGGAAGGGGACATAATCCAGGTTGTGTCCATGGGTAAGTGCTGCTCCTGGATTATAGAAATTAATGTCCATGTTAGCAGAAATAAACGTAAGGGCAGAGGCAGAAAACATCACTCACCTACAAACGAAACTTGAGCCAGTGGTCCCAATCTCCTTCTTTGCTCTCAGCTGGAGAGAGCAAAACCCAGTGCTCATCTTTTCCGTTTGGTGCCCTAATGGGCAGGGAAGCAACAAACGGCAACTTACTAGTAAATGGCACTTCAGTACATTCACATTTAAAGATGTCTACGCTTCAGAAGCCACGGATTATCCTTCCGAGTTAACAGATTGGAAGGTGGCTGGCACCATTTTGCCTTGGCACCAAGCCGTAAGATACCCATCTTCTGCATACCGTAGTTCTTTGGATGTATGTACTTTTGAAGATGAGAGTAGAAGGGGGTACATTTTGTCTTACAAGCAGCTATTCAGAATTACTCTGTGTCCCTGGTGGCTTCCCTAATTCTGCAAGGAATCAAACACATTAAAAACTGAAACAGTAAGTGTTCGTAGTGCTTCTTAAAGTGCAGTAAGCGAGGCCATTTTCCTGTACTGGTTTTAGAAATCAGTCTCTGCTTTCCCTTCACCAGTGAACGACGAGTGGCTGGAAGGGGAGTGCAAAGGGAAGTTTGGCATTTTCCCCAAGGCTTTTGTTGAAGAACGTGCAGCCACAGACCTGGACAGCACTCCCAGGGGAGTCTAGGATGCCTCACAACCTATGGAGCGGGAGGAAAAAACTACCATCTCATTTGTAAGGTTTAGGACGCCTCTGTGGTACACGGTCCAGTGTTAACTAATCTACTTTCCCGTTAGACAATGATGTGAGAATTTAGGATTATGAACACCTTGGGGTGGGGCAGGCGGGGGGAGGGGGGAGTGGTTGGAAGTGTCTGGAAGGGCACGAGGGGGCGTCCCAGGTGCTGTTTTTTGCTCAGAGTACAGCTACCCAGATGTGTTCACTTTGTGAAAAATGCACTGAGTTGCAGTTATCATTGTTGCACTTCTCTGTTATGTGTGATAGAAATAAAAACCCAAGACACTCAGAATGCAGGCCTAAGGCCTAACTGTAAATAATTATTCCTGTTCACCATCAGACAGACTACTGGGGCCTGACTAACCTACAGGTAATTCAGGAGGCACGCGCACAAAATTAACTTTTAAGTCTCGTTGCTAGACTGAGTTTCCCATGGAATGACTAGAATTACATCCCTTCACGTTTTCTCAGAGAAACACTTAAGAGCTTAATAGGAAAATTTGCCACTGAGACTTAACTGAAGAAAAGAAGCCACGTTCAGGCAGCCAGTTGGTTAACAGTATCCTATTAACATTCCGTACAACGATAGAATGCTGTGGCCTTACCTTGGTTATCATGTAAACCAGTGGCCTGTTTTTCAGGGTTAACTTGAAGGATTCCATAGATACTAGGCCTGGCCTTAATCCGCCCATTTCTTGTGAGTATAATTTTTTGTGCTTCTCTCCTGCCCCTTCCTGTGTCCATAATTTAATAATTTTTCAAGTGTGTAGGTGAGGTACAGACAGAATCAACACCTAGGGCGGAAGGCCCAGCAGGCTGCCACTGGACATTTTGGACACAACTTGAAGAAATGCAACCCCAAAGCTAAGAATAATTATTAATTACTGTTGCTGCCAGTCAGGCGTAGTGACTTCTATAGTGAATTGCCTTACTAACAGAGAGACTAGGGATAAAACTGGTGGATATGTTAACTCCTTTGCATAAGTATTCTTTATTTATTAAATAAAAGAATTTGATAGTTTCTTTCTACTCATCCCTTTCCATACTAATGCATGCTGGTTTGGAAAGCTACTAAAAGCAAAAGTAACCCTGAAGCATATCCAACTTCTGACCACCTCTGCTTTCCTCTATATGACTTCTGAGTCGTTCCCAAGTCTTGATTTTAGGGTAGAAAAGAAACCATCTGTACACAGATCTGGTTGGAGAGAACATGGTTTAATTAAAGGCAAAGCTGATTTCAGCAGCTGCAGGTCTTGCACAGACAGACCTAAACAAACAAACAAAAAACCCAAAACAAACAAAACACAAAAGAAGGTTTACTACACAAAACCAGTTTCTGATGAAGATTCTCCTCTCCCTCCTCATTACTCCACACGGAGGATGATAAGGTGAGGAACCCGCCCGAGAATCAGAAAACATTCCAAACACCAAATGCTCATGCAGAAATGGGGCTGCAGAGGGGACGTGGGCGCTCCTGGGAGCGACGGCGAACCTGATGAGCTGGTCTAGGGTGCAAGAATGGGTGACAGTTCACACACTGGAATGTCGCAGCTGCCTGAATGTGGGGCTCAAACACACAGAGTGGGGAAAGGCAGCAGGGAGGAGGCTTGGGAGGGAGGGACCGGAGAAGGTGGACACAGGAAGGGGCAGGAGAGAAGCACAAAGGGTTTCATATTGCCATTGGATTCGGGGGAGGGGGGGCTTCACCCTTTCAGACCTTCGAAAAAAAAGAAAAAACAAAAAACCCCAAACACCATGTCAAACTGAGAGAGCAATAATGTAAGCACACGGGACTCCACCCACTCTCTCTGAAGAGCCATGAGCATTACGCCCCGCCCCTTTCACTGCTGGGGCTGCCCAGACTCCAGTGAGCCGGGCTTGGGATGTGCTTTGTTCTGTAGCCACCTTCTAGCTCTCAAGTCCCACACTAACCACACACCACCCCCTCCGAGAGCAGGTGGGCGTGTGCGTGCACACTCTCTCACGTGCACAAAGGAGAGACCTCCTGGAAAATAAACCCTACCACTAGCACAGCAATTGGACATTTAGATTGTTTCCATAATTTCCCCTTAAAATATTACTTTTCCAGGAAATGACTAACAGAAATGCTGTCCTGTTTCTACCCAAGAAAATGTTCAGTCCTCTTTCCTTCTAATAAATATCAAATAAAAGCTTATTTTCCTTTCTTCCACCTCTTCCAGAATGGACTTCGTTGTGTTTTCTTCTGTGCATGATGCACATGTGTCCATGTTGCCTCGAGTTTCACTCTGAAGGTGGAGGCTGGGAGCTTGCAGCTGGTGGGGGGCCTGGCCCCTCTGGGCTACACAGCCGCCACTCCTTCCTCTTCAGACTGTCTTTTGGGCCCCAGCTGCTGGACCCCTTCTGTTGCTTCTTGGCGTGATGTTGTACACATTAGGAATAAAAACAATGACTAGCATGTAGCATAGGGTAGGAAAGGGATGGAGGTAGGATGGGAGGGGGTGGGGATAGATAAGATAGGGGCACAAAAACCAACCAAACAAAAAATAACCACACTGAAAGCTTCTACCTAGTAACACCAGGCCATGAATGGACTAGCCTGCCTTCTGGGAGACTGCTTGCTCTGCTATTGCAAAATGTACAGGAATCAAAAACGTCCATTTAAACCCTACAGCAGCCACCTGCTGGTCCAGCCCAGCACCACCACCCACACTGCACCCTCGAGTGGGGCTCGAGCACCTACAGAGTGAAGGGCATTTCCTGCTGGAGTCTCCAGGCCAGAAGAGGGCCTACCGGAACCTTCTGAGCGAAGGCGAGGCCTTGTACTCTCCCTATGGAACACTGCCACTGGCCGAAGAGGTCCGCTTCCCCATCCTGTCACCACCAACCTCTCAAGGAGCAGTGAACGGGGCTTCCCTTGCTGCACACTGACTAGAAGCAGCACATCTGTGTATGGAAGAATTCAGTGTGACTTTTTACTACTGAGAGTATAACAATAATAAAAGATGTTTAGGAATAATTTCAACTACATTCTCAGTCAGCAAAGCAATCATTAATGGATTCCTATTTTATTCCCCAAAGAGGAAAAAAGGACTGAGAAGTTCCCACTGGCTTCTCCTACCTGCCTTCCCTTCTCAGCTTTCACTTCCCATGTGGCTGGGGACATGCACGATGGAGAAGGCGAGAGGCGGTGCTATCAGGTAACTGAGTGAGACAAACAGCAGTTCCTCTCTCCCTCCGGAGGCCCGGGGGGACGGAGAGTTCCTGATGGTTTTTCTTTTGGTTGCACTGCGGACATTTCGTGCACACTCAGCGGGCCGGTGGAACACTTAAACCCTCTCAACGGCAAGACACAGAGAAGAGGGCTGCCACCTGCAGGGGCTGTGGGCCAGTCCTGCAAACCCAACATGCCATGGTGTATGGAGCCTCATTGCCAGGTTGCCACCCCAGCCTCAGTGTGGAGGGTTCATGGTGCCTTGTCCCCGCTGCTGCTTCTGTTTCTGCTGCATCAACAGCTGCTCCAGAGCGGATGGGCCAGGGTGCATCATGGAACTGGACCAGATGGACTGAAAGACAGCCCAGAGCTTGTCAGTAGAGCTCACAGGCCTGGTTGTCTGGAAGGATTGGTTCTTCAATCCCAGCCAAACATAAAGGCACAATGTCCCAAGATCCCCACCCCCTAAAAAAACCCAGCCATTAGAAAAGACTGTCCTCAGGACCAGTTAGCCCCCGTGAAGATTATTTTAGACCAGAAAAGGTGAAAGTAGTTTGAGATGAAGTCTTTTACTAAACTCAGTTCCACGTGGGGACCAGAGTATTTACTGTTAGGTGCTGTTCTTTTACTTGTTCAGAAAAGGCTTAAATCAAACATTCCAAGATGAATCAGAATGTTCTTAAACTTAGAATGCAACTAGGACCTTTGTGCTTCTGCCCCTGAAGATAATGCTTTGTCACTAGTGAATTCACAAATTAAAAACAAAAAGCCCATTCAAGAACCTCATAAGGCAGGCCATGTTTCCAGAACTCTGCTAGATATGTGCTATTAATTAATCAAGTGTAGGGGCCTTAGGAATAACCTAGCTATTTATATGAATGAAACCAGCAACATCGCTTGTGGTTCTTATTCCTGAAATCCACTCACCTTCAGGCTCTCCATGAGGACAGCAGAGGAATCCTCCACAGAGGGGCCGTGGCCTGTCCAGGTGCCGCTTGGAGTGCTGGTCTGCTGCCAGCTGCTCTCAGAGGATGATGTTGCTGAGAGATAATCAATGCCAAACCCACCCATGGCTAAGGGATGAAAAGAGATTGGAATTCAAGAATACGTTTTATCACTGCCAAAAGCCCCAAACCAGGGAAAGACAGAGTAAAGTTATTTTACTTTTGTGAAGTTTGGGTCTCACCTGGCTTATCAGTTTTCCACCGATCTGCAGCTCTCCTATCCCTGTTATCTGGAGCCCCAATGGGTCCAAAATTGGAGAATGGAACAGAATTATGGTTGTGTGTTGGAGGGGAGCTTGGCAGGCTGCTTGGGTTAGAGGAATGAGGAGATTGGCTGGCTGGTGTTGAATGATCTATTAAATAAGAGCAAAAGAGGACATTCAATAGATAAGTTGTTTCACAAACATGCCAAGAACTAAAGTTTCCTGTAGATCTGGTCACTTAAATTCTACTAAAAGCAATTAGAGGGTTTTGGAGGAAAGGCAAAATAAGGGCCCCCAAAAGGACTCTGCTAGATGTAGGAATCTGTTTCTCTAAACATAAATAACGAGGCACATTCTTTGCCCAAAACAGAACGAAACAAAGCAGGAGACGATTCTGTCAAGTGCACCCACTAATGCAAACCACCTGTTTCACATAAGTACCCATTGGTCTTCTATATGAGAAATATAATTGTCTAACTTTAAGACTTGCTATTAAATCAGACTCCATTTATAAAATGGGCATTAAAAAAACCTCTATTTTAAAAATTGCAGTTTTCCTGCAAAGAATGAATGTCTGCAAACAAAACTAAAAAACAGCTGACATCCTTTGGAACTCGTATTTTTCCTCCCTTACAACTCTGCTGTTTTGCTGGTTACTGAGGATATGAAAAAGCCTTAAATACACACACACACACACACACACACACACACACACACACACACACACACACACACACACACACACACACACACACACACACACACACACACACACACACACACACACACACACACACACACACACACACACACACACACACACACACACACACACACACACACACACACACACACACACACACACACACACACACACGCGCGCGCACGCGCCCCATACTGGGAATTGAGCCTACAACCTGGGCATGTGCCTTAATTGGGAATTGAACCTTCACCTCCAATGCTCAACCACTGAGCTACACTGGAGGGGCTGAAAAAGCTTTTTCAATGGCATTTGTTATGTAAACTAACTCATCAGACTTTTTCTCTATTTTCTTTCAGGAGTTACTTAGAAAAAAAAAATCAACACAATATATTTACAATGACAAAATCATTCTAACTCTTAATCAATTTGAGTTTACTGGTAATGCAAGGTCTACCTTTCCTTGAAGACTAGTTAATACCTGAACTGGCAGGAAGTGATGGGGACCACGGAGTCCCTTCAAACAGGGAGTACAGGGATGTTTCCTGGGGGGCCATTGCGGGATTGAGTTCTGCTTTGGAGCTGGTTGTCAGGTTTTTCCCATATACCTCATTGAACACACTGTTGTTTGGGTATCTTTCCTGAAAGAAATGACAGTCAAGTTACAGAAGCACGTCAAGGAAGGAAAAGTATTTAGAAAATGCCACGTTCAGGTTCACAGATGATTGGGACACCTTAAGCTTTTCTTAAGGCAAACTTTTGAAGGCTTTTATTTGTTTCTTTCAGCTTTCCTGTTAATTTCCCTTTGCTTTCCCTCACACTTTTGCTCTATCTATGTAAACCACCGACGTTAAAAAGTATGAATAATTTATTAAGTGAAACAGAGCCCTAAGGATTTCAATATTGAGAAGTCAAAGGATTCAAACCTGTAACATACAAGTCTCCAGTGTACCCAATCAGAGAGAGAGGGGATAAAATAAAGAATCCAAAAGGTGCCAATATATGAAAGAGAAAAGCAGACATACTGAAATAGGACAGGAAGGAACATGGGAGCTCACAATGACAGTGCAAAGCAGGATTCTTCACTGTTTACTCACCTGGTTGAGAGAGAATCCAGTGAGGGACAGGAAAGAGGATGAATGTGACATGAGCTCAGAGGGCTT